TTTTTCTCCCTCGCAAACATTGGTTCAGCACAGAAGTCTATTTCCATAGACTGCAAGAATATAGTCACGAGAGATAACTCGACTTACAATATTGCCCATTCACCAAAAGAGCTCCAGTAAAGAGAAGGCAGCAGAGATGTAACCATTCACAGGAGCTAATGTTCTGCTGCAGCCACAGAGTAAGAATTTCTTCAGGAGCCTCTCCTTCTGGGTCAGACTCTGGATCAAACTGGTACGGCTGGACCACAGCGCTTCTCTAAGCCATACCTAGCACTCTGTGTAAACATTAGCGCATGGTAGGCTACCATAGCGCAAGCCACGCCCCCCTCTTCCAGAGAGACAGTGAGGGGCGTGGCTTGCGCTGAAGGAGGCGTGGACAGGTGCAGCACACAGAAACTGCGTGTTCTCGGTAGAGCTCACTAGAGAGAGTTTTGAGGCTGACTGAAGTCCAGGAAAAAAGAATGGACTTTTAGACAATAAACTTCAAATGGACAGTTCTGGGACCTCTGAGACCTATGTGAACCTGCTGAAGAGGAGTATTATATGGGACCTTTAAGGACCATTGAAAGCTCAGGAGTGTGGACATGAAAGAGAAACTCAGTGTAAAAATCTCACATTCAGCCATGTTTGTTGTGAGCTTAGCAGCTTCTAATATTTGGGTATGCAGTACATGAGTTAGTACAGTTGTATTACAGTTCTACTACCACAGCATCTGCTGCCATCAATGAATGTGGTGTGAATGGATGAATGTGACGGGTACTATTATCCTTTCAAATCCTTTTTTTAAATCTCTATTTTAAAAGAGACACCTTACCGAGGTGAGAGCCTTACAGAATCACAAACACATGAAAAAACTAGATAAATAACAAAACACATCAGGTAAGCGTGTCAGTCCGCTCTAACAATATGTACCATATGGAGCCAGTAGGGAGAGAGGAGTACAGAGCTAACATGATCTTCCCACTTTTGCTTTATGAATAGCAATATAACAGTGTCATTGTCTGCAAACTGATAATGATGATTAACCCACCAGATCAAAAAGGATGGAATGGAGAGTGAGGCATGTTGTGTAAGTGCTGCAGCAAAGAGATGTGTAATGGACTGTATCAAGGGTCTGAAAATGGAAAAAAGACCATGAATACACAGTTTATCACCATAATCACATGTGGAAATGTAACCTCCACATTTTTGTTCATGGCACTGAAAGTAAAGCCGACTTAGTTTTAAAAAAGTGAATCTTCATTGTTTTCTTGAAGACTCCAAAATTTTGGAGTCTTCAATAAAATCATGACCTGGATGAATGAGAATCTACATGGACAATCTTCACTTTTAGCTTTATAACTTCATTTATAATATGTGATTTAAATCAAAGTAAATTAAAGTCCTACCAGGGCACATTTCCAATGGGTTTAACATTGTAGGGAAAAAAAATATCACAATTATTTGGCTGTTGAAAGTGAGCCTTTGAGAGGAATATGACTGTGAATTTCATTTTTTGAATATCTGAAACCAGTTTTAAACTCAGAAGTGCTGCTTTTGAAGACTGAAACACCATCTGAAGGTCTTCAGCTGCAGTGCTCATCCAAATCAAATAAATATCTCTAAGCTATGAAGCTGAACTGTGCCTGAGCAACCTGATGATTATTAATATTTTGCTCAAGTCTCTACATTTCAAGACTGTCTTGGATCAATATAGTTCCCAAGTTTGTTTAGAGAATTGATTTTAAACACTTCTAGATTTATGTATTTGGTTTGTTTATGACCCTTGCCTCAACACTTTTGACCTTTTTGGGAAAAAAAAATCCATTTTCATTATTAATTAACTCGCCCAACCTTTTGGCTTGGGGTGTACTTTGTCTGTTGACATGGTTCTTTGAAAATTCTCAAAGAAATAACAATGCAAAAGCAAATTATCTGCGGAGAAGAACAATATTCATCATTAATAAATAAGAGATAGAAAAAAAGCTACATGAGGAGATTGCAACAGGCTGAAGAGGGCTGTACAAAGACTGTTTTGAGGACTCTGGTCAGACTAAATTCATGGTTCCCTTAAGACAGGGAGGCACGGACACCCTCCCAGGGGGTCAACTGTATTGAACCACCTTTGGGAGGGCCCAGCTTGCAAAAGGTTGAAAACCCCTGCCTTAAGAAAAACAATTAGTACATATAATAACAATACATATTTATATATATTTAATTCACAGCCATTATTGTAAAAAGCCTTTCGTTGTCTCCTGCTCACAGCCCAGGGTCCGAACAATGGGGCAGATGCTGTAAACATGACAGAGTAAGTCCAGGTATGTTATTCCAACTAAGTTCCATTTAGTATGATTCAGTCTGACTAATGTGTTTTTTAATATTCTAGTTTCAGGCGTATAAAAGCATTACATACATTTTTTTTAAACAACATGTAAACATACTTAGTGTCATAAACGGTGCTTGTTCTTTCATGTTATATTACTGTCAAGTTACTTTTTTATACTGTTTTTACTCTTTTCTTTCTTTTTAATGTAGTAGAGAAAAGAAGCCAATTTCATCACTTCATGAGCAACGAAACAAACAACATTTCACTCTATTTTATCCTGCTCAAACCCCAACACCCCCTTGGATGCAGCCAGGTAATTGTTTCTTTGCACAGCATGGATGCCAAGTGTAAAAATGACAAGCGTCTCTACTGGTAAACAGTAAGGATTTGGCACAGAGTAGCTGCTCACGTCTGTATTTCCTGCTTACTATAAAGGTTGATTTTTATTAGACAGAACTGACTGCTGCATTGAGCTGTATTTCTGACAGTTCTTTTCTCACTGCTTACTTCATGGACCTGTAGCTCTCATAAGTAAAAGGCAAAAACTCAAAGTACAAGGCTGACATTGGCTCAGCCTTTCAAAGTGAGGAAGCAAAAGTTATGGACTCATTTCTGGATTCACGAGTCAACCGTGTGACACCGAGAACGCTTGAAAGCCAATGATCAAACCACTGAAACATTCTGCTGTTTGTTTTCACAGGCGAGGGGCTTATCAGGAAGACGTGAATCAATTAGCTGTTTGTGCAAAGGCAGTCGGACTTGGCTGCACATTGATTTAGTACAGGATGTCATATCCCAGCGTTAGCCCTGTTATCTGTTTTGTTGTGCTGCAGTGATTCCAGCAAATAAACTCATATTTACTCCCCTGACGCTCCACATATATGCAGCTCTACAGGCACAGATGAAAGGAAAATGTCACTCAGAGACACAATTAAAAGTTGTGTTCTATAGCTTCTGTGCTTGTACATACATATGGTGATGAATAATAATTGGCTGAATCAAAACATACTTTTTTAAAATCATCTCAAATAACACATCAAGACATTATACAGAGGTGGGATGCTAACAGTCTCAATGAAATATTTGCATCACATACACTTTTCCTCAGGGTGAGACAATCCTTACGTTTGAGTCATAAGTAATGCAGGGCACCTAACTATAAAGCACACACACACACACACGCACACACACACTTCTTGATCTTTGCATGTGTTATGAACCTGTCACTGCAGCAGTTGATGGATTGAGTCCCTTGTGGATTTAAACACAGAGCTCACCGCTTTCTAAGGCATCAGCACTTCAATCAGACCCTTATTAGTGTCTTTGGATGTGTGTGTGTGTGTGTGTGAGAGAGAGTGTTTGCCTGTGTGTGTATGTGTGGGAGAAGAGTCGTCTTTCATGATCTCTACACATGTGACTTTGTGTGTGTGTGTGTGAGTCAGGGGGGAGACATGGAGCAAATGTGAGTGTAATGAGGTGGAAATAACCGTCTTTCAAGATACTCCCCTCAGTGTGAACCCCCATACATCTTGTTAACCGACAAAGCTTTGAAGACGTGTCTTTGTAACTGAACACAGCGAGGTGGGGAGTGCTCTTACGCAAGCATGTGTGCAGACATGCAAACAGGCGTGCAAGTAGATACTTTGCATATCCAAAACAACAACTAGTGAGCAGGTGACTACATTTTGACAGTAATTAAGTCAAATCAAAGGGCCTAATTAGAGTCACTACAAAGAAAAATAAAACAGAGAAGGCTGAAGGAGAAGACGAAAAGAGAGAATTATTCAATTATAACCCATACACAGACCACAGTGATGCTCAAACTACTTTTTCCTCATTAAACATCAAAATCATTGGACTGCTAACTATCAGGCAGTCAACGTGACTTCAGGACATGTTTTTTTTTTGTAGATTTGGGGATAAACAAATGTCACAGCCAGAGTAAATATTTTTGTTGACATATTCTCATTCATAAATACTGATGGATAATGACAAGACGAAATGGAGATGGAGGTTTCTGTGAAATTGAAATTGGCATAGTACCACTCTTTGACAGAAGCAGTACCTTTAATTCACATAACCACCCACAACATTCACCAACAGCAAGATAATAAAGTTTTTAGGAAACTGTTTGACATCAGGTTTAGTCTGAAAGGCAAAGGATGAGATAAATCCCTGCAGGTGGGGAAGTGGCTGATTTGGTGACTCATTGTTCCATGGTGCAGACTGAGATGAAGTCATATGGGATGGAAGGGACTGGGTAAGGATGGTGAGGGGGTGTTGAGGTGGCTGTTGTCTTGAGTGGTAATAGTGTGGAGGCTTCTAAAAGGATGGATAAAGGGAGTGGTTTGATCATTCCAGAAACTGTGTGGACCTTTTGAGCTCATGAGTTGCTACAATCTTCAGCCAAAGCTCAATGTTGTCTCTTTTAAAAGCACTGCTGATTTTCTGTGCAGGGACTTCTGGATTTTTTGTTTTTTTTTTTGCTCTTGGCAGGTGAAGCTGTAAGAAGGAGAAACAAGCATTTTCAGTAGCTTGATAGTGCAGAAATAGAGTGATAAATAGGATACAATAGTGCACAAAACTAATGGATGATGACAGCCAAGCATACAGCAAAGACAACCTGCGCTGCAAAAGTTACTTAACTTGTTGTATATATTTCATCATTTTTCATCTTTCTTTACTTTTCAGTGAGAAACATTAGTTGGCAATTCACTGGTCACCAACTTACCAACTGGTTTGATATCTATTGCAGCTGATTAATACATAGCTTGGTTGCAACCCCAAACTAAAGCGTTAACCCGTGCAATAATGATGGACCAAAAGAAGTCTGGGTCCTACTGACTCTCAGAGGACTTGGTGGCTGTTGTGCTCTTCTTAGAGGTCTCTGTACTGGACAATATTCAGACAATGAGTTTTCATCAGAGGTGAGAGATGTGGGAGTCATAGCTTTAGTATAGGTGATAGGTCAATGGAGTCCGTCAGACTCCATTAACACGTCATGCTGCGTGCTGTGTGATGCTGCACTGCTCTGCTCATGGCATGTCAAAAACTTAAATCAACATTCAACAAACGACAGAAGAGCCGAAGAAAACAGCTAAATCATCATAAAATGCCACCAAAGAAGCAAAATCTTGGAGCTGAGAAGGGGTTGGAGGAAATCAGAAAACCACTTGATTTCATGTCGGGCAAACTCAGCAGAGTGGCTGAAAAACTAGACATGTTTATGGATGAGATAAAACAACTGAAAAGCCTGATAGAGAAGGGTGAGAAAATAAATAACTTGGAATGGTGAGTCGAAGATTTGGACCAATACACAAGAATGGAGGATTTGATTACTAGAAACTTTCCATAGATCATATACCAGAGCTGCTGCAGGTGGAGGTGGGTAGGACGCCCAACCAGAGGAGCAACAAACACTCAAGCAACAAGTTTTATAATTCCTTTAAAACGAACAATGTGAGTCTTGAGAATCATCATATTTCAACTTCTTGCGTTTCCAAAAAAAAGGCAAGGTGAAGCCGGCAAATTTTGTTTGACTCGTTTGAAGCCGCAAGACCAAAGCAGATCTACTCAAACAAGCAAAGAACCCGAAGGGGACTAGTGTGTAACTAAACGAACATCTAACAAGAAAGAACACCAAAATCACCAGACAGGCACGAAACCTGAGAAAAGAAAAAAAGATACAAGGAACTGTTAAGTAATGATAGAACTGTATGAACACCAGATGAAGCAGAAGTTACAATGATAGGAGAACTCAAGGAAATGAAACAATACAAGTAGAAGTGATCGAGACCATCAGTGAAGAATCCCCTTGTGAAAGTGTGAATGAGGGCTGTTTTGGACAATGCTCTGCTCAGAGAGCATTTCTGTGGATTGTGAATCATCCTCCTCCTCAATCTCCTCCTGCACTGTGGGCAGACCTGTGTAACCCCACAGGGTCTGTTGTTATTGTTTCTCTCTCTGTCGTCATCGACTGCTCATCATCATTAAAGATGAGTGGGCGAGCGGGGGCTTGCATGGGTGGGACTTCAGGGCTTCTGGTAGACCAGGTAGCCTTGACAGACAAGCCACTGACTAAGCCTATCAATCGTCACCTCTGCGACTCTCTCTGTTGTGTTGTGTGTGTAGTGGCATGTTTCCAGGCCAGCTGTAGAGTTACCATAGTTACCGAGGCAAGGTGCAGTAATAAATAAATAAATAAACAAACGGCAGTTCTCCGGCCCTTTTTTGATCAGCCCATCAGAAAAGCTCCTGGTACTCCTGATGGCCAGTCCACCCCTGCCAACATTGACACAGCGACCCCAGACTTTGGTCTACAGTTACACACAACAGCATAATTCCTGTTTATGTTTCTTTGCACAAGCCCTTAGTGTGTTTGGGCTAGATTACGGATTTTCCTGACTCCCTTTATAGCTCTTAAAGCACTGTGTCAGTGAATGGGATGACAAGTGAAGAAAAGTTAATGTGTTTGTGGATCAAAGTGAAACGACAACCATAGACTCTCATGTGTGTTTGGTTATTTTAGTCTATTCATACTTTGAAACTCCTGTTCCCTTTTTTCTACTACCAAACTCCGTGAGCTTTTCTAAGCTCACCTGTGCTTCTTACCTGCTCCACGTTAAAAGCATGTTGACTTGACACTTCTGAGAACTTCGTCTGTTGTTTGATTGACATCTCTGACTCTCTTGTCAACTTTCTGTGCACGCGTCAGGGCGAAAAATAAAAATCCCACCAGTCAGTTGTACACTGACTCCAGAGAGCTCACGACACTCCCAGAGGAGCTGCACTCATGTTATGAAGTAAACATGAGAAGGATTAGACCTTATGAAGTGATTTTAGGGTCAACCAAAGGCACGTTCTAATTTTTTTTTTCACACACTAGTCTGTGTACTCTATTTTAGCAGCTAAAGGTGGGTTCAGTTTTGCAAACGCAACTCATTTCTACACTGGTCTATTCAAGAAAAATACATGTCTAAGCTCTCCAGTTAGAAAACAATGCATTTTTAAAGTGACGTGTTGACAGCTTTATTTTGTTCAAGTAATCCATCATTGTGTAGCATTCAAGACAGCTGATGAAACAACACCGGTCAGAGGAGCTCAGAAATCATGATGCCATAATAGCTTTGGACGTGTGTGTGTGTGTGTGTGCACGTGCGTGTGTGTGTGTTTAACATCGAGCTTTGTCAGTTGTGCACGTGAAAAAGCCTTCCAACTCCTCCTCTTTAAGCTCATTTGTCCTCATCTGTCCAATGTTTCCTGTGTCTCCTTCTCTTGTTCACTTGGTCGACTCAAATCAGATTCACTGTCATTACACACATTCACACACGCACGTGCACATGCACATGCACGCACACAGTGTTGACTGTCCGCACTGTGTTACTGTCTCTTTTGGTCACTTCAATCAAATGAGGGGAAACATTTTCCTCCTTGTCAGTGTTGCAACATGATCTCATGGGACCACAAAACACACACACACGCACACGGACAGTGTGTCTCCCCCTTTGTCCCAGGTTAACTTAGCCTACATCTATCAGTCATCCATCAGCACACCCACATTGTACAGAAGGATAGAGGAGGTCATGAATGTTTAACCCTCCATTACATGAAGCATGTTTTACCGTCCACACACACCCTGCTGCAGTCATGGCGTGATGAGTGAGCCTCAATTTGTTGTTGTTGCTGTTTTCAGGTTGATGAAAAGTCAATGGGGACATGGCGGAGGCAGTGGAGAGTGAGGGGCGCCTTTAATTTCACCCCTCTGCTCGTCTCAGGCGCCAAGGGTGCAGCCTGAGCTTAATTAGAATGCATTTTAAATATTGATGGGCCTGGTTGTCCCTACTGTAAGGCTGCTAGGGGAAACTGGAGCGCAGGAGAGGAAACTTGATGAGAGCAAACACACACTCTGACAGCTCTGAACTGACTGGCTTATTCATTAATTAAAATAAGACGGATGGCTAAGTGGAGGGAATGAATGAAAGAGGTTAGACCATCAGATAGATGGATCAATACTCTTAGATTCCTCATTTGCTTTTTCTCTGCTGGGCCTGCTCCTTGAATGACAACCAGCATCTCTTGTGACCACGTGAAATACTCATGTATTATGTAACCTGAAAAGGAGTGTAGATGGATACATACAGGTGCAGCTCCAACAATGTGAATATCCAAAAAAAAGGTAATTTTTTCTGATAATAAGAAGTGAAACTCTTGATGATTACTGCTTACAGCTCATGAAATTAAAAACTTTGCCATCTTCAAATATCAGAATAAAAATAGATTTATGAAACATAAATGTGGACCCTCTGGAAAATTCTGTTCATTTCTGCTCTCAGTTTTTGGTCAGGGCTCCTTTTGCATGGCTTCCTGCATCAGTGTGGTGGGTCATGTATTGTGTCAGTCTGTGGCTCTGCTGGGGTGTTGTTATTGAAATCCAGGTCTCTTCCTTCAGCTTCTCTGTAGTGTTGCTCTGATGTTTCTAATCTTTCTCTGGATGATCCTCCACAGATCCTCTACGGGTTCAGGTCGGCACAGGATTACCATGATCAGCAAACCGGTTTCTGGTGGTTTTGGTGCTGTGGGATGATGCAAGGTTGACCCTGAAGCAAATGTCTGTCAAGTTTTCAACTTCAAACCAACTTCAACCCGGTGTCCTGTCCAGGGATGAGGAGGCTGTGGAGTCAACAATTACACACTCAGCCATGCTAGTGCAGCTCGCGGTCAGAATGCAGTCGTTTGTCTTATTCACAATGACCCAGACTGTATCTCCATCCTCTTTCTTGTCTTGACTAAGCAGCACCTTGAGAGCCACAAAGTTTTCAGTGTCATAATCATGTAATGGTCCTGAGCATGATTGTCTGTATTTGTAGCCATCCAGTATCTGGTAGGATTTTAGCCTCTCCCGGGAAAAGAGACTTGGTGTCCCGTTAGGTACGGATGGATGTCTGCCCACTGAAGTCTGTTTTTTTTCTCATCCTTTATCCACTCAGCTGCATCTAACGTGTGGGTCAATAAAACGTATCCCATACTCTAATGTTGTTTTAGCAGCATAACTTATTTATCGCTAGGGGATAAACTGTCGTAGTCAGCTGCCAACATCGCAAATGCAAGATAACTTAGGTTAACTGTGGCAACTGGTTATGTTGTGCACGTCCGCTGTGTTGATAAATGAATAATTTCTTTGTTGTTTTCTCAAGCCTTGTCTCACGATTCTGGCATTTGACCTGCTAAAAGTGGCAACAGGTCTTCATTTTTGGTGGATTTCTCTCGTTCGTTGCTCATTTTGCAGTCCTTGTTGTTGTTACCAGCAGCGCCAGCAACTCCCACCATGTACAGGGAAGTGGTCTCTTCCGCTCTGATTTTGATTAGTTGGCTGGTAGGGCAGTCTGTACTCAACTGAGTAAAGAACAAATGTGATTGGTTGGTCACTGCACAGCACACACAGAGTCGACATGCAGTGTATGTCAGTCAGCTACCCTTGAAATTAGATGAGTTCATTCACCTTATGCATTGCAGGCTCTGCAATGTGACTATCCTGCACACTTACATCATTATGACAATGCTCAAACGATATATCGTGCAGCCCTACTGCATAGTTAAACAAAGGATGAGATCCTGGTTAATTATGACTTCCTCGTTCTTCTGGAGTAAATCGCTGTTTTCTGGAGAAGCAAGTTTTACCTAAGCATAAATATATATGTGTGTGTGTGTGTGTGTGTGTGTGTGTGTGTGTGTGTGTGTGTGTGTGTGTGTGTTTTAAATGACTCCAAAGCTTTCTTGCTGTCAAGTCGTCATCTACACTCATTTTTGGTGTGAGATATGTAACTTTCTACACTGACCATCTATTTTTGAGAAGCTGTCATCCAGCACTTTCTCTTTAGTGTAGTTGGCGTGGTTATTCAAGTCTTTGCTGTAATTACTGTCATATTACTATTTTAGCAAATTAGCTATAGTTGTGTTTCTGGATTCTGATAGTAGGCCTACATAGAGTCATAGCTTATAAACCCAAGCTGCCTGCTGAGAAACAGTGGAGTGTGTTCAAATTACTTGAGTTTTTTCCCCTGTGGACTTTCACACTTTTCAGGGGGCTTCCTGTGAGGCTCTCAATTATATCAAAATAACCATCAAATCACAAGGTTGAAGTGTCCCCGTGTTGCTTTCTTTAGACTCTTTGGAAACTCTTTTCTAAGTATAAACATGAGAAATGTTACAAGAGAGCAGCACGCAATCCTCGCACTCCGACCTAAGTCATTTCTGAACAAAATGTGCAGGAAGAAAAAGTAGAGCCGCTGGGGGCTTTGAAAACTTCCAGACCACTCAGTGTCAAAACTGCTGCAGAATTAAAGCTTTACTGAGATGTGTCAGGACATGTTTTAGGGGAAAACACAGCATGGAGCAAGGTTAAAGAGGAGAGGATAACATATACATAGAGACACAGAGGAAGTGCAGAGGAAGGGGCTTAACATAACAGCCCAAAAACATTCAATTACAAGGACTTTACAGGCTTGTCCAAACAAAAGCTGAACTTGACACAGTGAGAGGATGAGAAACAAAATCCAATTCTAAACAAGACTTTGGAAATAGGCCGAGGGGGTGGAAAAGAGAGAGAGGTTTTACAATTGATGGACAGAATAGGAAAACAAGGGAGGAGAATTTCATGAAGGACAGGAGAAGAAAGGGTGATAAAAAATAAAAATATATAAAAAAATAAATAAGTAAATAAAACTGGGAGAAAAGAGACTGAAGGCCAGACAGGAAAATACTGCAAATTGTTCAAGATATTTTTTTATGTGAATAGAAAGAACAGCTCTGCTTCAAACGAAGGTGTTAAACCCTCTACCATTCAGGTGGTTATTTGTGGATCATGACCAAATTATTTAAATCCAATTAAACCCTCAAACTTACACTAATTTAAAAAAAAAAAATCAAAAGAGAGAGGACATTATTTAAGTTACTTAAACACAAATTTACAAACCCCAAAACAACATGTTTATTTATTTAATAAATAAACATTTTTACATTTTTTTTCTGCTGTAGGAATGGGGGTGTTTTCCCCCTTAACACCTAACCAGTGTTGTTTTTGGCAGGCATTTCAGATTTAGTTTTAGTCTTAGTCATTTGGACGAAATGCTTCCTCGTTTTAGTCCCATTTTAGTCATTTCTTTCCTTGATAGTTATCGTCTAGTTTTAGTCCGACGAAAACTAAAAAGGTTTTAGTCTAGTTTTAGTCGACGAAAAGGTGCGTTTTGAAGTTCGTGGTGTTCTTTCCCGACAGTATGAAGCCGCAGCATGAGGAAGCTGTGGCTCCACAACTGTCGTCTGTCTCTCCGTCCCCGTCCAAGACATTGTGTTTTATTGTCACTTGTACTGTACCTGAAGTAGGACCAAAATCATCCCTCTTTTTTCGGCCACCGGGCACCGCTGCTGTGCCTGCCGCCACGGTGTGTGTGTGTGTGTGTGTGTGTGTGCGTGCGCGCCTCCTCCACCTGCCGCTCTGTGCATGTGTATGAGTGTGTGCGCGCAGCTGTGCGCGAGCGAGGCTTTTGGTGCGTGTGTGATGGGGGCGTGACTGTTAGGACAAAAAAAGCATGTTTTGAAACTTTGTTCGTCCACTTAATAACAATTTAGTCTCGTCTCGTTCTCGTCTGACGAAAATCAATACAATTTTCGTCACATTTTAGTCTTTACAGAGCTTTGGTGACGTTCGTCTTAGTCTCATTTTCGTCAAGGAAAAAAGGGGTCTGACGTCGTCATTTAAGTTTTCGTCCTGCCTGACGAAAACAACACTGCACCTAACTGGCCTCCAGTGGTCCAACCCCCAAATCGTACACCATGATCTGCTCACTGTATGTTACATCACCTATTTGCAACCACAGACAGTATAAAACATGGATCTAGTCTTAATGATGTTATCTGGTGGTTTCTGAGGCAAACCATTAATGTCAGATGCCATATTGGAAATGCGGACTCTAACTGTTAGTGAGGAGGATGCAGGGGCTAAAGAGCACCCCTCTTTTAATCAAGTCAACTGTGCCTCTGCTTCTCTAAAACTCAACCTTCATATCTTTACAACTTACAAAATGCAAATTTATGCTTTTATTTGTAAGTATCACTGTTTTATAACCTGATAACCAACCTCAAGGACCCCTTTTATAATACCTGTTACGCACACACTTCATGTCATGCCTGTATAAGTCAGTCCACCAATCACAATCCTGCCAAAAACCTAAAAACACACCCTACTAGAACCTCAGGCCTTCATGGTCTTTAAGGGAAATTATAGTCTTGAAACCTGCATCGTTGTCACTAGATTATACTGCATAAAAAATCTCCAACACAAGGATTATAATTTTGGATTTGTGCTCAGTAAATTTTCAGTTTTCATTCGGTAGTACATTTTCTCCAAAAGTAAAAACACAGAAATATAAAATGTACAATAACTAGAGAAATGATCAGACAGAAACAGTAAATAACTGTAAATCATGTATGTGTGCATGTACACTTCTTGCAAAGGAACCCCACAGGTCGGTCTCTGTCCCTTCAGACAGTGGCTGCTGAAGAGATTGCAGCTAATACACACACACACACACACACACACACACACACACACACACACACACACACACACACACACACACACACATATATATATATATATATATATATATATATCCTCAATTGGTTTTTACTAGACTGAAAACAGATGTGTTGCTCCCAACTGCAGGAAATATGTTTTCATAAGGTTCAGTAACTGTCCAAAACGGAAATATT